CCCCCCCCCCCAAATCAGCACCAGTTGCCCATGGACTCCACAAAGGAAGCTTTCTTGCTTAATCTGACCATGAGCTATATGTAGTTCAGCTTCCGTACATGAAAGCATTGCACGGTGCAAAGAGAGCTGTTCTATATCACCTCACCTGTTTGCTGTGCTTCATCTGTGTGTCGTGATGTTGCATGTAGTTAGCAGGGGAATGACCCCTCCTAGAGATTTCTCATGCCAGTCGCTGGTGGGAGCACAGTTATGTCCTACTTGCAATGCATTTCCCCTAGACTTCTCTGAGCTGCTCTTGATGCAGTACTTCACTGAACTGAGCATTTTGGCAAAGCAGTCTCTGTACCTTGGTGTCCAGCTTCTTCACTGGGTCATAACAGCAGCCAAGATATGAGGCCTAGGAGTGACTCTAGGGGCTATGCATATTGGCTGGGGTAGACTGGGCACTTGGTAACAGGTAAGGACTTGCTAATGCTAACCTGTCTCTCTAAGGTGCTTGACTGTTTTTATTTGTTTTGAATTAGGATGGAGATGAAGAATTTAACCGTGCTAAACTGCTGAACATAGGCTTCAGAGAGGCTTTGAAAACGTACGACTATGATTGCTTTGTATTTAGTGATGTGGACCTAATTCCAATGGATGACAGGAACATCTACAAATGTTATAGTCAACCAAGGCACCTCTCTGTATCAATGGACAAGTTTGGATTTCGGTGAGAGCTTTTTCGTGTGGCCTGCTTTGTTACTCAGATGTAGCTTAGTATTACATACCTCTCTCAGAGGGGTGGCCTCTCCATTATATGCCCAGTGTTGAAAACTTAAAGTAAAAAAACCCAAAAACAAAACCTCCCATCTGAACCTCCCTGGGGAATAAATAAGAATGAGATGAGTTGATTCTTGCAGGGGATAGGAAACTTTTTAAAGGCTTCAATATTGGCTTGGGAAGATGGGTTGGGGGAGGGGATATGATCTTTTTCAGAGAGATTTTTTTAGTTCCATTATGTATTTTGTATGGAAAGTCTGGAGCCCATCAACTTCTAATTCAGACAGATAGCAAAGCACCAAAGAAGTGAACTGTAAATGGTGAGCTGTACTTCTGAACACATTTAAATAGGCTCATAAATACAAATTTGGACTACATCAGTGCTTCCTTAGTTCTGCAAGAGAATGACTCCTCTCTCAATCCCCACAAGGGAAATTCCCTTACAGTCATTTTATTATTTAAATGGCCCTCTGTAAAATGAAATACAAACATCATCCCCAATGATGAGTAATAGTTTGGTCATGGGGGGCATACCCATTTGCAGTGTTTGTCAGACTTTCCCAGATTCCTCACTTTTTTAATGCTGCACTTGAAATATATATTTATTAAAATATTTACCCTAAACTTTATGACAAGGTGTCTGTGGCCCTGTTTGACCCCTTCACTATTACTTTGGTTAATCTGCACAGGCTCCAACCCAGTGCCTGCACCACCTCCCTGGGCATGCAGAAGTGTGCCAGGCTGCTCACTGCTCCAGGCACAGAGTAGGAGAAATGGGTGGAGTCTTGGCTTCCTACTCCTCATTGTGCTTAGTTTGAATGTTGGACAGTGACTTACTGCTGGTACAGGCTTGGATCAAATTGCTGTCCTCAGTCTCTTGGAAGGCAGAGGGTCACAGTACCCTGGGGTCACTTGGGGGTGGGGGATGGCTCTTCTCAGTTCCAGGCTTGGTGCACTACTAACTCTTTCTTCCCCTTCCTTCAGGTTACCTTACAATCAGTATTTTGGAGGCGTGTCCGCTTTAAGCAAGGAACAATTCTTAAAAATCAACGGGTTTCCGAACAATTACTGGGGCTGGGGTGGTGAAGATGATGACATTTATAACAGGTAAAGAGTTCTACTGAACCATTTATGTGGGAAATGTGCCCAAGTGTTCATTTCCACCCCTGCATGAGATTTGGTTGTCCACATAGCAGCAGACAATGGTGGTATGAAATACAGAGCTTACAAGCAGCCAGTGAGTATTGGTATTGCAGGAGCAGATATTGGGAGCCTGCTGGGTGCCTGCATAGCTTGGGGTCCACAAGGAGAAGAGAAATAGGTTCTAGCAGTGAAGTGCATGCGTGTGATCAGGAGGGACAGTCTCCCTTTCCCATCTCCAAACTGGATATGTTCATAGTACTGATCTCAATGGTGGAGCAGGGTCAGGGGTTCAGCTGCAGAAAGGTGAGTGTCCTGTCTTTGTTCTTTGCTGTGTAGAAGACTCTTACCCAATGCTGGAGACAGCAAACTGGGAAGGCCAAGCTGAGAGGAACCACAATTCAGCCCTCTTGTCAGGAAACTCTTTCCTTACCTCCAGTACCATAAAGAGTTTGGGGTGAGCATTGGGGCAAATCCCTTTGTCAAATTTCTGTGAGCAAGGGCCAGAACTCAAAGCTCCTTCATTCCAGCGGAGTGCTCTAACCACTAGGCTGTCATCAGGGTCCCTTCTGCTTGCTCTCCCTGTGGCCCCAAGATTTGCCAGCTTCAACAGGAGGATGGAAGGTGCCCACGCCCAGGTTTGCTCAGAGCCATGGTGGGTTAGGCACTGTCCTGGGAAGTGGAAGATATAGGTTCAAGTCCTTTCAGGCTGCGGAGCTACTAGTACCCCAGTCATTAACTGGCTATTCTAAACACCAGACACTATATGCCAAAGGTGTCTCTGACCACTGTGTATTGGGTGTATGCCTTCAGAAGTAGTGGGGGCTAAGTATACCACATTCCAGAGGAGACGCCAATGCTCCAGAGACAAGTGGGTGTTATGATGCACCACTGTACTCAGCATTTCCTGTTGGCTAGATCTTAGAATCATAGAAAGAAGGACTGGAAGGGACCTGTAAGATCATCAAGTCTGGTCTCCTGCCATGAGCAGGAGGTAATGGGCTCAAACGAGCTCAACGAGGTGCTTGTCCAGCCTCCTCTTGAACACCTCCAGAGATGGTGACTGCACCACCTCTGCTGAAAGTGTGTTCCAGATTTTGGTAACTCATACAGAAAAAAAGTTTTTCCGTATGTCTAGCCTAAACTTTTCTCCAACTAGCTTATGCCCATTGGTCCTTGTCCTCCCAGGGGGTGCTTTTCTGAAAAGTTGATCTCTCAGGTCCTGGTGTATATCTCCCTTGATATATTTGTAGGTGGCTATCAAGTCACCCCTCAACCTTCTTTTACTCAAACTGAACACCAAAGTCTCCAAAGTCTCTCCTCATAAGGCCTACCCCCCAGGCCCTTGATCATGTGGGTGGCCGTTCTCTGCACCCTTTCCAGCCTGTCCACATCCTTCTTGAAGAACTGGACACAGTACTCCAGCTGTGGCCTCACTAATGCCAGATAGAGAGGGAGGAGCGCCTCTCTGGATCTATTGGCAAGACATCTGCTGATGCACACCAGAGTTCTATTTGCTCTGTTGGTGACTTCATCACACTGGCAGCTCATATTCATCCTCTGGTCAGTTGTCACCCCCGGGTCCCTTTCAGATGCAGTGCCAGCCAGTGGACCACCACCCATCGTATAGATATGGTGAGGTTTCATGCTTCTCAGATGAAGGACCTGGCACTTGTCCCTGTTGAATCTCATCTGATTGTGTTCAGCCCATAGGACCAGCCTCTCATGGTAGTCCTGTTCTCCGGCATCTTTGTCCTGTCCTCAGACATGCCCACTTTTCCCCACAGTTTGGTGTCATCCACAAACTTAATCATTGCGCTTTTCACTCCGGCATCCAGGTCATTGATAAAGGTGTTAAAGAGCATGGGCCCAAGCACTGATCTCTGGGGGATACCACTGGAGACAAACCTCCAGGATGAAGCCACCCCATCAATTACCACTCGCTGGGATCGGCCACTGAGCCAGTTGCCAGCTCACTTCACTGTAGCCTGATCTAGCCTGTACTCTCTAACTTAATTGAGAAGATATTGTGGAAAACAGTATCAAAGGCCTTGCTGAAATCTAGGTAGATGACATCCACCTCTTGTCCCATGTCCAGCTGGTTAGTTAGCTGGTTATAAAAGGACACCGGGTTTGTTAGGCATGACCTCCCCTTGACAAAGCCATGCTGGTTGTTTCTCAGTATCCCACAAGTTGTGAGCTTGTGATTGGTGCCCTCCTCAACAATTTTTTCAGAGCTTTTTCCCAGGACTGATGTCAGACTGACCAGTCTATAGTTAGCAGGGTCGTCCCTCTTTCCTTTCTTAAAGATAGGCCCCACATTAGCCCTCTTCCAGTCATTCGGGACCACTACTGAGTTCCACAACTCTTTGAACAGCCTCGGCAGAGGCACTGCTGTGAGCTGGGCCTGTTCCTTCAGCACTCTCAGATGCAGGTTGTCTGGCCCAGCCAACATGAAAACATCCATATGGTCTAAAAGTAACTTTACCTGTTCAGGACTGATTTTATGTGGACTGCTGTCATTGCCGTGTTCTCTGCGCCTTTGGGCCGGTGACAAGTTCTCGCCTGGTTTCAGGTGTCTTGGTGTCCCTGACGGCTAGCACTGACCTGCAGAAGTGCCCACATCTCCCATAGTCTGTCTAGAGAGTTAGGGTGCCCAATCCTGTCTGTTTGAGCCTCTTTTCGGAAGTGCCTCCTCCAAGTCAACTTTATGAAAATGCTGGATGTCCAAACGTAGTATAATTGAATTGTTAAAAGTGGTGTGGCTACTTCTGTAAACAAAACGGGGCTGCCCCTTATTCGTGATCCACATGGGGTTTTTCTCCCAACCCCTTCCTCCCCCACTAAAGATGGGTAGAAATGGAACCAGATTTCATCCCACACCCAATTTAAGGCCTGGATCCATGTTTACAGCAGCTTAAATCAAGTAGCATTTTGCATACACACTGCCTTCCCAGTGAGATAGACAGAGGAGACCCATCCTCCAAACTCCCTTTGGAGCTTGGGTGATATGAAGGTGCTCAGCACTGTACAGGATTGGGGCCTTTTTGCTGCCACTGACTTGTCTGAAATTACAAGTAACCCTCCTGCCCAGAAGTGAGATTACATTTTCTCCTTGCAGTGTAGTAGTGGCATCACCCACCCTGCTCTGCAAGTCCCTCCGCTTATTGATATCTACAGGGGTCTGTCATGTGCCAGACTGCAATTTGGTTCAGTCTGTTAACTTGCTCATAACCAGAGATCCTGGTTTTCCCTGTTAAAAAAAAAATCACAAATTCTATGATTAAAAACCCCCAAATCCATGATTAAAATTAAAGGCCCTCATTCCTCCCCCAGCCCCCGCCCAGCCCCACTGGTGCCCCTCATCCCCCCACGCACAGCCCCCTGCCACCCACAGCCCTGCCAGAGGGGGGCTCCAGCTGCCATGGCTATGGGGCCAGGGACCCAGGTCCACAGTCCCCTGTCCCCGGCAGGAGGTGGCAGCTGCTGCAGCAGAGCAGAGCCCAGTTCCTCCACTGCTGCCTGTCTGCTGCAGGCTTCGGCGGGGGAGTGGCTTCTTGCCCCACAGATCCGTGCACAGAGTGGGTGTGGACCTGGGCTGCCCACTGTGGGCTTGTGCTCCCACCCTGCTACCCTCCTCCATGGCCTCTGCAGCCCAGCAGGTGCAACCAGGTGCTGCAGGGCAGAGCAGGACCATGCAGGGAACTCCTTGCTGCTGCAAGCTCCACACTGCCCTGGTGAGGCATCCTCAGGAGCGAGGGGCACAAGCTTATGCCACCACCCCTGCAGAACTGGGTCACTCCTGCTGGGCTTTGGAGTCTCTGGAAGAAGGCAGCAGGGTGGGGAGCCCACAGCGGGCAGCCTGCCCCCACCCTGCACACAGATATGGGGTGCATGGGTGCTGCCCCCCTGGGAGTGTGTGCAGCAGTGGGGAGCTCCCCCCAGATGAGCTGCATGTGGCCCAGTCCCACTCCATGCCAGGGGCCTGAGGCTGTATAATGCAACCCTGGGCCCCATGCACCACCTGGCTGGGCAACAGCCCCAGCTGTGCCCAACTCCCTCCATTGCTCCCTATGGGGGCCTCAATCCCACCCCCTGTAATTTACCTGCGGGAGCTGCTCTCCAGGCTGCCTGGTGGCCATGTGCATATACCACCCCCTGCCTGACTGGTGTCCCCCCACTCCCTCCCACCCAGCCCCTTACAAATCCATGGGTTTCTCTGGTAAAATGAAAAATCCGTGATTTCCTCCGATAAAGTGTAAAATCTGGTTTTTCCCGTTTTTCTGTGAGAAGTGAAAAACCCAGATCCCTGCTCATAAAACTGTCTTCTGGGTGGCTGTAAAGGAGTATCTGTCTGGACATGACCTTAGGCATGGCTTTATGCTAAGGGGCTTTATTGTTGAATGAGATGGCTTTTTCCAGTCTGTTTTTGTAACCAGTGCCCAGGTTTGTAGTAGAAGCAATCTTACCTGTACACTCACTCACTCGCTCTTCAGAAATATTAATAAACATTTCATATGTTTACTTTTGCAGGCTCATTTTTAAAGGTATGGGGATATCTCGCCCAGATGCTGTAATTGGGAAATGCCGAATGATTCGCCATTCAAGAGACCATAAAAATGAGCCCAACCCAGAGAGGTATTTCTCTACCCTTGCTGAACCTTTCTTAGCAAATAGAAAAGGCTGAGAACCCTAACCATTGTACTTTTTCCTGTTCAGTGTTCAAGGCCTCATCACACAGGTGCTTGCACACAACATACTTTACTCTTGTGCCTGAGTTTTTGCTTGGGGATTAACATGGAGTGTTTAATCTGACTTCCTGCCCCTGGGGCAGGGTGCTGGACTTGATGATCCTCTGGGGTCCCTTCCAGCCCTAATGTCCATGAAATCTATGAAATCCTTTGAACTGATTCTTGTGGTCACTCAACTCTGAAGCTGTAATGCATGAGGATTTGATATGTAACTTGGAACTGGAAAGCATTAAGATGTTAATTTTATGTTTTTATTTTCACAGATTTGATCGAATTGCTCACACAAGAGAGACAATGAATTCTGATGGTATAAACAGTCTATCCTATAAGGTTATAAGAACTGACAAGTACCCTTTATACACAAAAATATTAGTGGACATTGGCTCACCAAAAAGTTAGTGTTGCAGAGGCATATCAAATGATTTCGTATGAGAAGATTTACCAGGAACATTGGATCTATAGGACCTGTACTCTGATCAAAATGAACAAGATAGCCTCATTTGAATATACAGAGCTTTTTTCCCAAAATGGCTGGGGAAAAAATAGATTTTTTAAAAATCCAAACTTGACTTTATACAACTTTCTAGCTCTACATTATTTTTATAAATTTAAGATCTGTAAATATGAGTTGTGAATATTTACATTGCCAGAAAATGTTGGATATTATATATTTGCTGCAGTGCTTCCCTTGTTAATAGTTGTATGCAAATTTTACTGATCGCCAGCTGTGGTGAATCAGCAGTTAGTACCCATATTCTCCCCTGACCCCACCCCTCCATCCTTTAAATTAGGTTGATTGAAAAACTGCTTTAACAACATTGCTGTTTCGCTATGAAGGACTGGAAAATGCTGCTGAAGTTGTACAAGTTTACACTTTGTATTACATTTTTTTAATGGAGGCAGTATCATATATTCTTGTTTAACATCTACCAAAACAAAATCTAGCTTAAATTTTACAGAT